TTTATACAGGGGTCATTTCGTAGAAAAAGAGGTGCAGGAGCTCATTAGCATAACTCATTAGCATAATTTATTTGCATATGCCACACCGCCTGACATCACCAGAAGTGTGTCAGAAGGCAACACCCACCGCTCAGGCTCCACTAGATTGTTTTGGATTGCTAGCTATTAGGGGGGGGGAACGTGCAGATCTGTCCTCACAGAGGAGGGAGAGCTTGTACCTGAAGGCGGGCCGGGGGGGGGGGCCCTCTGCAATTTACCTGGCTGCTTCTTGCTCCTCGTGACCTGACTGAGGGCTGCTGGGAGCAGGGCGTGGGGCTTGTTGCATGTGCCCGCCCCCTGGGCTCCTTACTGCCGGAGCTCCGCTCCTGTGCGTTCCCGCAGGAAATGACCCCTGGTTTTATATTGTAATCTTAACTTAATCTGTTTTACCATATTATGGAGGGTTTTTTCCCCCAACATCTTTATTGAAGTTTTGAAAGTCCATACAATCATTAATACAAGTAATAACCACTTCCTTTTTTACTCTACATAAATTGTTGAGTACCATATTATGGAGTTTTAATGTATATATTCTCTTGTATGTCTGTTAGCCGCCCTGAGCCTGCCACGGCAGGGAGGGCGGGATATAAATAATAATAATAATAATAATATAGTTCAGCCTGTACTCTCTCAATGAAGCGTTGCCTTTGCCGCTTCACCATTAGCCCAGACTCACAGGCAAACTCCCCGCCCCCCATTTCCTTGCACTCACACAGTGGAGAAGCAGGAAAAAAATGGGGTGGGGGGGGGGAGAGAGACACACACAACAGTGATGTCAGTTCCAGATGATTGCCCAGAAATGATGTCAGATCACGAGAAGGGAGGGGCAGGAAGGGTTGCCTCAGTGCTTAGTTCTTGTGGCCCGTTTCTTACACGCCCAGGGAAATGCCGGTCGCCACTTTTTAAGGAAGCCATTTTTCTTCAGACCACTTTAGCTGGGGATCCTGGAGGTTTTTTTCATCTTCTGGGCATGGACCAGGGGTCACTGCATGTGTGTGTGGGGAGGGCAGGTAGTTGTGAATTTCCTGCACTGTGCAGGGGGTTGGACTAGATGACCCCGGAGGTCCCTTCCAACTCTATGATTCTATGATTCTGTTCTATGATTTCCTAAACCGGACCTATCTCCTCCTGGGCAGTGCCTTAGACTCATGGTTCCCTAACTTACAAGGGCAGAGTTCACCTGTCCATAACTTTGCTCCTTCAGGACCCTGGGACATTCTGTACATCCTCCTTTGCAAAACAAATGACTTATTTCTCTTTGACAGGGGAAAGAGCCCATGCAGGAAGCCCTGTACCAGTTTGTTTCCATAGCAAACGGGCTTGACAGCTTCCTGGTTATAAATAGCCATTGCTATATTGGAGCACTTCACAATTAATAAAGATGATTTCCTGATACTCCGCCACTCTCTGTTTTTCTCTTGCGGGAGGATTTCAACAGTATCTAAACAAGAATAAACCAACACATGAAGCTTCCTTATATCTGTTCAGGCTCTCCAGGGTCTCGGGCAGAGGCCTTTCTCATCACCTACTACCTGATCCTTTTAGCTGGAGATAGAACCTAGGACCTTCTGCATGCTCAGCAGATGTTTTACAGAATCAGAAGAAGAAGAAAAGGAAGAGGAGGAGCAGGAGCTTGGATTTATATCCTGCCCTTTACTTGGAGTCTCAAGAGCAGTTTACAATCTCCTTCCCTTCCTCTCCCCACAACAGACACCCTGTGAGGTAGATGGGGCTGAGAAAACTATTTTGAGAAGAAGAAGAAAAGATTGGATTTATACCCTGCCCTTCACTGGAAGTCTCAGAACGGCTTACAAACTCCTTTCCCTTCCCCTCCCCACAACAGACACCCTGTGAGGTGGGTGGCGCTGAGGACTCCTCTAGAGAGGAAAGTTCTGAAAGAGCTTGTAATCGACCCATGGTCACACCAGCAGGTGCATGTGGAGGAGTGGGGAATGAAACCCAGTCCTCCCAGATTAGAGTCCGCATTCCTAATCACTACACCACCCTTCTCTAAAATAGGGTGTCTGAGACATACTAACAATACTTTAAAGATCTGGAAACTCTCAGACTAATGGGAAAAGGAATATCTAGGCTAAGCCAAGCCTTTACCTCTCTCTTGGCTAAGTATTGTGAGTCACTCTCCCCGTCCCCTTTTCTATTGGGACACCTCAGCATCCCCTAATCTAGCAGAGCCAGTTTGGTGTAGTGGTTAAGTGTGCGGACTTTAATCCGGGAGAACTAGGTTTGATTCCCCACTCCTCCACTTGCACCTAGCTGGATGACCTTGGGCAAGCCATAGTTCTGATAAGAGCTGTTCTTGAAAGAGAGCCGTTTCTGTCAAGAGCTCTCTCAGCCCCACCCACCTCACAGGGTGTCTGCTGTGGGGAGGGGAAGGGAAAGGAGTTTGTAAGCCGCTCTGAGACACCTTTGGGTAGTGAAGGGCGGGGTATAAATCCAATCTCTTCTTCTTCTACAACCCATGGATTGTGAGATCTTATGGCACAGTGATATTCATTCAGTGCTGTCTGAGCACCGTTCCCCAGTAGGGCACCTGTGCCATCTTTTAGGAAAATGGTCAAGGCCCTTGCCCAGCTAGGCTTATGGCTGGGAGGTGGTTGCCACCTTGAAACAGCCACCACTCGAGGAAGCATAATAGAATCATAGAGTTGGAAGGGGCCATAGAGGCCATCTAGTCCAACCCCCTGCTCAATGCTGGATCAGCGAAAAGCATCCCTGACAAGTGTTCGTCCAGCCGCCGCTTGAGGACTGCCAGTGAGGGGGAGCTCACCACCTCCCTAGACTGCCCATTCCACTGCTGAACGACTCTTACTGTAAAAATTGCTTTCCTCATTTCCAGCCAGTACCTTTCTGCGCTTGTTGCGAGTCCTCTCCTCTGCTGCCAACAGGAAGAGCTCTCTGCCCTGCTCCAAGCGCGCGTGCCACGATGACGCCACCCGGAAGTGATGTCATCGTGTTGGGCACGTTGGGGGCAGGGCCACAATCATTTGAGGGAAAATCAGAGTTTTCCCTCGAATGATAGAGCGTCCCCCTCCAACATGCCCGACGCGATGATGTCACCTCCGGGTGGCGTCATCGCGCCAAGCATGTCTGGCACTTTGGGGGCGGGGCCCCCCCGGCAGCCCAATCAAGGCCGGTGGGGAACGGGCCCCTCGAGCGGGGTTCCCCCCCCAGTGGGGACTTGGCAACTCAAAGGTTATAACGTCCACTCTTCCCATCACATGGCAGTGATATATCACATGTTTGCAGTTAGAGAGTCCCATGCTGTGACCTACGAGTTAAAGTTGGGCACCTGGTCTGGAAAGGAGTGCTCTGAACGGTATCCTGAAACAAAAGATATTTTACAGGCCTTCCTCTCTCTCTTCGCCACGTTGCTGCCTTTCAAAGGTCCCCTCAGGAGAGGATGAAGTCTCTGAAGCACATTGCTGGCTCAGTTAGTCATTGCTAGCCCAGAGAGCTCAGAGAGAAGTCAACTCGGGGGGAAGGCGTATCCTGAGAAACCATGGAACTGGAGTGGCAACGTTTTCTTGTTGCCCTGTGCTTTCATTCCTGTATGCAGGAAGCTCAAAGGGCGGGTGCTACTCAGGGGTCATTTTGTAGAAAAAGAGGTGCAGGAGCTCATTAGCATAACTCATTAGCATAACTTGTTTGCATATGCCACACCCCCTGAAATCACCAGAAGCGTGTCAGAAGGCAACACCCACCGCTCAGGCTCCACTGGACTGTTTTGGATTGCTAGCTATTGGGGGGGGGGAATGTGCAGATCTGTCCTCGCAGAGGAGGGAGAGCTTGTACCTGAATAAAACTTGGTCTGAAAGGTGCCACTGGACTGTTTTGGACCGGGGAGGCAGGGGGGGCTTGTTGCATGTGCCCGCCCCCTGGGCTCTTTATTGCCGGAGCTCCGCTCCTGTGCGCTCCTGCAGGAAATGACCCCTGGTGCTACTGACCAAACTAAGATCTCTGCATTCAGACATTCTACTCCCCCCCCATTCTCCTAAAGACAGCTGACCATGATTACTTTAGAAGAGCCGGTTCCAGAACTCACAGCTCTTGTTTATGGCATGGTCCAAACTCCACTGACAGGATTGGCCTGTGTGATTCTGCTGATGCATCCCATAATATAAGAGGGCTTCAGGTAAAACAGCCGTGTTGGTCTGAAACAGCAGAACAAAGTTTTGGTACCTTTAAGACCAACAAAGTTTTATTCTGGGTATGAGCTTTCGTGCGCACGCACACTTCTTCAGAATGCACACAAAAGCTTATACAGGATTTCTGCATGAGCCTTATTTTTTAACAGTGATAAATTAAGACACTCTAGAAGTTGGCATGCTATTAGGAGGATTTTTAATATACAACAGCAAATGTTTTATTAAAAAAACGGGGGTTTTCCTCTCCTTTTTACCCCACCGTCACCAACAAGCATTAGGAAAGCAACACCATTTACAGTTTAATAAAATTAAGTTACTTGGTGCCACATTCTATCGTAGTCTTTATTGGGAAGTGAAGTAAAATTGCACATTGGGGAGTCATAAAAAGGGGGAGGGGAGGAAATCAGCGTGAATATAAACAGAGATTCTGAAATTTATTTCCTTAGAACGCATCACGGGGAAGAGAGAAGCCCCTCTCCCAACGACAGAAGTCCCCATTTCTCCCGTTTTTCCATTCGTGAGGGTGACAGTTAAAGCTTGCAGAGAACCGAGTACCAAGAGAGCTGGGTGGGTCAAGAAGAACACGCACAGCCACACTCGATTGATATTTGAGTGGTATGCCTTCCGTGGAGGGAGAAAAAAAATCCATCTTTTTTTTAAAAAAAGAAGCACTGTGTTGATTACAGACTCAAAGACAAAGGCAGGAGATCCCTTTTGCTCACTATCCACCGGCAGCCTAAAACAAATCAAAGCTTGTTCCGAAGCACACTTGTTTCAGCATGGAAGACCATTTTTTTAGGCCAATGCCAGTGCACACCATGAGTCTTGGCGAAGAGCAACACTCAGTCCAGACTGCTGGGGCACGTTGGCTGAAGAGAAGGCATAATCCTCTGGTTCGTACTTGAACTGAGTATGGCTATCAGCCAGGGCATCCTCAGACTGACTTGGACCCTACAAGGAATGACAGCAGGGAAAACACATTTGTTGTGGTTATAAGCAAACTTTTTCGGGCAACAGTTATTAGGGTTGCCATATATTTGGAGATTTTTTTGGGGGGGGGGGAACCTGGGGAGGGTGGGGTTTGGAGAAGGGAGGGACATCAGCAGTGTATCAGGCCATACAGTCCACCTTCCAAAGCAGCATTTTTCTTCAGGGAAACTGATCTGTCATCTGGAGAGTATCAATGCTCCCTCTAAGCTGTGGAGTCTTGTGAGCAAAAATTCTACTTTGTGAACTACTGGCATTAAAGTTGTGAGCGAGCCATTTGGCTACTGTATAAATGAATTTGCTTTGGAGCCATCCGTCCTGAGCAAAGACAAAAATGTGCGAGCCAGAGGCTAAAAAACTGTGAGCTAGCTCACAATAACTCAGCTTAGAGGGAACACTGGTTGTAATCCCCTGAGGCTGGCAAGCCTACCAGTTATCCCCAGTGGAAGGCCTGCCAGATCCACTCCAATGGCTTATGAAAGAGGGCATTCAAGTTTTGGTTATACCCTTTGAGTTAACAGCCATTAGATGACAAACTAATGTTGGATGGGGCTGTGGCTCAGTGGTAGAGCATCTGCTTGGCATTCAGAAGGTCCTAGGTTCAATCCCCAGCATTTCCAGTTAAAAACAAAAAAGATCTGAGTCAATCTTTTCATGAATAGGGTCTATCTCCTTTTTCATCGCCTGGGACACACAGTCTTGAATCATCGCTTTGAGTTCTTTCAGTGATACCTGGGTGGTATTCATTGTATTTATTTTTAATTGTATTTGTCCTGGGGATGGTAACGAACCTTTTCTCGTTCCACCACCACTGCGTCCTGTTGCCATATATGTTTATAATTTTTTTGTTTCTATTTAATATATTTATCTTAGGAAACCCCCCCTCCCCATTGAATAGGGAGACATGGGTTATGTAAACCTGTTGCCTAAGGGTTCAACAGTTCCTGTTATACTTTACCTGGGAAGTGGACACTATAGATTGTCCCGGATATTGTGATGTCACAGTGGGTTCCGTTTTTAAAGTGACGGTGCTTTCAGAGTTCGTAATGGAAGAAGGCGAATTGGTGGTTGAAGTGGTGGACCCTGAAAGAGGACGGTTTAAAGGGATTTAGACCGCAACAAAGACACAAAGCAAAATCCTATCATTGCTATGGCTAGAATCACCACCATAATTTATTGACTCCCAGATCTTCTCACGCCCTTGCATGCCCTCCCAAGCCAATCATCATTCCGGTCTTGCCCCTATCTGCATTTATGCCCCAAATTTACAAACGTAGTCTGGAAATTTGGGGTGAAGTGGCACTCACATATTGGATGGCACCCACCTCTATTCATCCATCTCTGCCAATTTAGTGGGATCTGAGCTGACCTGACCTTCTGCTTAAGGGGAGGCCGTGGCTCAGTAGTAGAGCATCTGCTTGGCCTACAGAAGGTCCCAGGTTCAGTCCTTGATCTCTCTAGTTAAAAGGTTCAGGTAGTAGGACCTCTGCCTATACAGACCTTAGAAAAAAATGAAATTATCGTACAGCGTTGTGTATGGAATAGCCAGGAGATCCCGGGTGTGTGTGTGTGTTTGGCTGCCGAAGCTGCAGCTCTTCTATGCTTACCTTTAGGCTGAGACTGCAACATTCCCTCTAAGCTGAGTCAGTGTGAACTAGCTCACACATTTTTGTCTTGGCTCAGGAAGGATGGCTCCGGAGCAAACTAATTTATGCAGTAGCTAAATCGCTCGCTCACAACTTTCATGCCAGTAGCTCAGGAGGTAGAATTTTTACTCACAAGACTCCACAGCTTAGAGGGAGCATTGGCCGAGAGTGCTGTGTGACTTGCCTAAAATCGCCCAGCTAGCTTCAAGTGGGGAAGTGGGGAATCGAACCCAGTTCTCCAGATTAGAGTCCACTGCTCTTAACCACTACACCAAACTAGATCTTGGTGGTAACCTGAGAGAGCGGCTGCCAGTCTGAATAGACAATATTGACCTTGGTGGGAGCCAAAAGGCTTTTAGTCCTTGGCTACGGCTTGCAGTACGTGGCACAGAATGAGCCAAGCAAGTGGATCGAAGATGAACCCAGGAGTTGCATTGCAGTATATTTTTTTCCTGTTTGTCTAAATTATATGGTCTAAATTATATGGTTGATGGGACCCTAAGAAATGGAGACGTAAGTACAGACAGGGCTTTTTGTGTGGAAAAAGTCCAGCAGGAACTCATTAGCATAATAGGCCACACCCAGTAGAAAAAACTCATTAGCATATTAGGCCACACTCCTGACTGCACCCCTCATTAGCATATTAAGCTAGGCCACACCCAGTAGAAAAAACTCATTAGCATATTAGGCCACACTCCTGACTGCACCCCTCATTAGCATATTAAGCCGCATTCCCATGTTCACAGAAGTGTGCTCATCCAGCCACACCCACCTTTTGCTTCTTATTCTGTTTACCTTGTTTGTTGTCAAAACCCAGGGCTTTTTTGTAGCAGGAACTCCTTTGCATGTTAGGCCACACACCCCGAATGTAGCCAATCCTAATGAGCATCTGCTGTTGGGTGTGGCCTATTATGCTAATGAGTTCCTGCTGGGTGTGGCCAACTTGGGAGCCAGCCGGAACTCCGTTCCTGTGCGTTCCTGCCCCAAAATAGCCCTGAGTACAGATAAGACATGAAATCTGTCTCATTTTGAGTCCGACTCCTGGACTCTCAAGGTCAGCATTGTCTACTCTGACTGGCAGCAGCCCTCCAGGGTCTCAGGTGGAGTCCTTCACACCACCTGATCCTTTTAACTGGAGGTGCCAGGGATTGAAAGACACAGGGAGGGGAAAACAAAATTGACCCAAAAACTGGAATCAAGAGGACACTCTAGCTCTGACTAAGACAGCCACACAGGTGCTTTCTGGACCAGAATTGGAAGATGTTCAAATTCAGCAGCTGTGCATTTGGCAGCAGACACATGACTCTCCTCTTTAGAGGCCTCACAAACATCTTTGTCTTGTAGGATTGCCAAGTCGAAATATCCACTTACCGGGGGACTCCCGTGCTGCGGCTGGAGAGCGCCGCACGCACGTCACCTGGAAGTGATGTGACGTGCTGGGCACGCTGGGGGTGGGGCCACAACCATCCGAGGGAAAACCATAGAGTTTTCCCTTGGATGACCATTGGAGAGCGCCGCACGCACTCACCTGGAAGGTGATGTGACGTGCTGGGCACGCTGGGGGTGGGGCCACAACCATCCGAGGGAAAACCATAGAGTTTTCCCTTGGATGACCATGGGCCCCGCCCCCAGTGTGCCCGGCATGGTCGTGTCACTTCTGGGTGACGCACACGTTGGGGTGGGGTTCCCCCTGGGGCCCGATCCACCGCCGGCGGGGAACGGGCCTCTGGGGCGGGGGTTTCCCCACCCCCCGGGGGGACTTGGGAAGCCTACTGTCTTGTGTCTATCGATCTTGCTGCTTAACCTTCCATTTCTTGGTCCAGTATTAACTTATTGGTTATCTTATTGTAATACGTATTATTGTTACATGTACCTCAATACTGTTTGACCTCTGAAGAAGGCCCCAATAGGGCGGAAACACGTCAGGTCATGTGTTGGCCCTTGGGTTTAGGCCACATGAAATTTTTGACAAGGCTTTCATTGGGCCCTTATTTGTTTTTAACTGTCTTTGTATTTTTGTATATTATGTGATGCCAGGGATTGAACCTGGCACCAAGCAGATGGTCTGCCACTTACGATAGTTCTAATTACACGTATCCATTGAACTATTTGGAGAGCTTCCTTCATTATTCATTTCATATAGGTTGCTACAGGGATCCTTCAGGATTACAAGATAAGTTCAGCATTTAGATACAGTGATCAATACTTTTGGGTGGTCCCTCCCTGCTTTCCCTATAGCATTCGATCCCTTGTCTTTCCTTTGCCCCATTTTTGTGACCAGCAGAATCAGGTGGTGCCAATGAAATTGCCAGGGAAATTCAGTGGTTTGGTGCAATGGTGTCCTGACCACACAAAGCAGCCACTTAAGGGCAGCTCCTGGACTGATATGGGCATGCCTGCCGGAATATAACAGCAGCCCTGTGGGATCAGACCAGTGGTTGTAGTGTAACATTCTGCATCACACAGTGGCCAACCAATTACCCTGGAGCAGAGGTGTTGAACTCATTTGTTATGAGGACCGGATCTGAGATAAATGAGACCTTGTTGGGCCGGGCCATGTCTGTCATAAATTGTAATGCCAAGTAGCGGAGATATAGACTTTATAAAGGACACAGACACAAAGGGTTGTCTTTTTTTTACTTAAAATAAAAACATGCGTAAAACATTAGCACTCTTGCCATATTTTGTTTATTTAAAAATGTCATAAATGACACCTCTTGCTTTGAATTATTGCATCAAAATGTCTGTGCTGTTGCAGTCTTCAGTATGCTGTTCAGGTGTGTATCTGTAAGCAGCAAACCTACGATGACGCAGCAGCAGCAGAACTGGCAGAAGAAGCAGAAGACAGCCAGTGCCACTGCGGGCCTGATAGAAGCCCTCTGGGGGCCTGATCTGGCCCCTGGGCCACATGTTTGACACCTTTGCCCTGGGGTTTTTTTTTCAAGAAATAGGGCATAGAGGCCAAGGTCTTCCCCTGATGTTGCCTCCTGGCACTGCTATTCAGAGGTTCCCTTCAGTTATTGCGGCTACTGTAGCCACTGATGGACTTCTCCTCCATTAATCAGTCTAACCTCCTTCTGAAGCTATCTATGCTTGTGGCCATCACTATCTCCTCTGGCTGTAAGGCTTCCAAGCTCCAACGGGGGCAGGGGAATTCCTTGCCCTGACCCCTGTTGCCACTCTAAACAGAGGTGTGTGTGTGGGGGGGATTTCAAAACCTGGCAGCATCACCGGCGAGATGATGTCACTTCCAGGAAACACCCACAAGTCACAGTAGGTAACTCTAGGAATCTAGGGATCCGACAGTGCCTAGAGCCAGGGCTATTTTTGGGCAGGAACGCACAGGAACGGAGTTCCAGCTGGCCACGCCCAGCAGGAACTCATTAGCATAATAGGCCACACGCAACAGCAGAAACTCATTAAGACTGGCTACATTAGGGGTGTGTGGCCTAACATGCAAAGGGTTCCTGCTACAAAAAAAAGCCCTGGGTTTTGACAACAAACAAGGTAAACAGAATAAGAAACAAAAGATGAGTGTCGCTGGATGACCACACTTCTGGTAATGTGAGGTGTGGCATAATATGCTAATGAGCTGCTCTGTCATGGGTGTGGCCTAATATGTGAATGAATTTCTGATGTTGGGTGTGGCCTGTTATGCTAATGAGTTCCTGCTGTGCTTTTTCTACCAAAAAAGCTCTGCCTAGAGCTACCTGTCATTACTTCCGGTTTCTAGCAGTCTAGCAGTGAAGCCCACAGTTTAGTTGCTCCTTGAGTCAAGAAGCAGCTGCGCACGTACGCCAGCTGTTGAGAGAAAGTCACGAAAATTGCTACCTGTCGAAGATTTGCCTTTGGTTATATTTTTAGGTTTCCTCTTCCTTGTCTGAATGCTTTCCTTCTTCATGGCCAGAGGCCTTGGCACCTTGATGGGAACAAAGATGAGAGTTACGAGTTAGACTTGGTTTTATTAGCAATTTGGTGCTTTTCATTTAGAATTTAGTTGAGACCATGGGATTCTCTTGCAGTACACGTTGGAAATGAGCTCAGCATAGCTAGGAGGAAATCTCAACAACAGTAACTGCTGTTGTGACTAGATCCCTTCTGTTTTATACATAAGGTTGCCAATCTCCATGTGGGGCCTGGAGATCTCCCGCCAGGGGTCATTTCCTGCAGGAGCTCATAGGAGCGGAGCTCCGGCAGTAAGGAGCCCAGGGGACAGGCACATGCAACAAGCCACACACCCTGCTCCCAGCAGCCCTCAGTCAGAGCAAGAAGCAGCCAGGTAAGTTGCAGAGCCCCCCCCCCCAGCCCAAAACAGTCCAGTGGCACCTTTAAGACCAAGTTTTATTAAGGTAAAAGCTCCCCTTCTTTCTCTTACTGTGTTGGGGCAGATCCAGGTCTCAATGCATAGGTCTGCAACCATCCCATCTAGCCTGATCCTGGATGTACTCGTCTGAGTAACTAATCCATAGTTGCCAGTCTCCAAGTGGTGGCTGCAGATCTCCCAGAATGACGACTGGTCCCTAGGTTACAGAGCTCAGTTCTCCCGGAGAAAATGGCTGCTTTGGAAGGTGGACTTTATGGAGCGTTGCCGTGTCCCGCCAGATGGGAAAGCAGGCTTGCCAGATCCAGGTTGGGAAACCCTTGGAGGCTGGGGGATGGAGCCTGGGGAGGACAGAGACTGCAGTGGGGGACAGTGGCATAGATTCCACCCTCCAAAGCAGCCATTTTCTCCAAGGGAACTGATTTCTGTAGTAAGGTTGCCATCCGCCCGATAGGGGCGGGGGTTTCCCCAATTTTGGGCCCCCAAATCTGTCCCTAGGCAATTGGCCAGTGGGGGACCCCTGCCCCTGAAGAGCCCCTCTGTGCTTGATGTGCCCAGTGTGATGACATCACCCGGAGGCAGGGGTCATTTCCTGCAGGAGCGCACAGGAGCAGTGCTCCGGCAGTAGAAAGCCCGGGGGATGGGCACATGCAACAAGCCCCACCCCCCTGCTCCCAGCATCCCTCAGTCAGAGCAAGAAGCAGCCAGGTAAGTTGCAGAGCTTCCCCTGGCCCCCCAGTCCAAAACAGTCCAGTGGCACCTTTAAGACCAAGTTTTATTCGGGTACAAGCTCTCCCTCCTCTGCGAGGACAGATCTGCACATCCCCCCCCCCCATAGCTAGCAATCCAAAACAGTCCAGTGGAGCCTGAGAAGAAGAGATTGGCTTTATACCCCGCCCTTCACTCGGAGTCTCAGAGCGCCCTACCCCTCCCCACAACAATCCCTTCCCCTCCCCACAACAGACACCCTGTGAGGTGGGTGGGGCTGAGAGAACTCTGACACAAACTGCTCTTTTTCAAGGACAGCTGTGCCCGAGCTTGTGACTGACCCAAGGTCACATCAGCAGGTGCAAGTGGAGGAGTGGGGAATCAAACCCGGTTCTCCCAGATTAGAGTCTGCACACTTAACCACTACACCAAACTGAGCGGTGGGTTTTGCCTTCTGACATACTTTCGGTGACGTCAGGGGTGTGTCATATGCAAATAAGTTATGCTAATGAGCTCCTGCACCTCTTTTTCTTCAAAATGACCCCTGTCTCCCGCTATTACAACTGATCTCCAGAAGGCCGAATGAGTTCACCTGGAGAAAATGGCTGCTTTGGTGGGTGCACTCCATGGCATTGTATCCTGCTGAGGTCCCTCCCCTCCCTAAACCCCACCTTCCTCAGGCTCCACCCCCCAAAACATTTCCAGGTATTTCCCCACCCAGAACTGGTGGTGACCCTGTTTTTACATTTCAGATGTGCACTGAACAAGTAAAAACAAACCTAGGCCTCTGACCAGGGCTTTTTTTCCTGCGGGAATGTGCCGGAACAGAGTTCCGGATCCTCTTTGACAAAATTATTTTTAAAGGTTTCAAAGTTCACACATTTTCAGTATACAGACTGAAAACTTCATTTCCCTCTTGAGAGTTTTGGCACCTCTTTTTCAAAAAACCCCAACGAGCCCTGCCTTTGACATTTCATTGGCTTTTGAACCAGCTGTTCCTAATTTCCCCATGCATCTCTATCTGTCAACAGAGAATGCTCCACAGATCCCATGAACTCGTGTGCCACAATTAATCTTTAAGTTACCCCAAGATTCTTTTGCTGGCTTAGATCAGCATTTCGGTACACATACATTCTCTCCCCTCCTTCTATACAGTGCATTGTTCAAACGACAGGATGTCCTTGTCCTTCATGGGAGGCTATTTTTCTCAACGGCAGTCCTTGGGTAACAGATGCATGAGACACAATGTTTGGAGAACTTCCTGATAGATGTTCTTCATTTCCTAATCCCCCCACCCCATCCCCTCTAATGGCTTTGGAGAATTCGCCGTAAAATAGAATTCTCTTCTGTCCCAGAGAGAGATGCGTCGATGCTGGAATCCAAATTACCACCACTCCATGTGTTCTTGCCTTCCAGTTTTAAAAAACCCCGAAGAGGATTTCAGCTCCCATCCTCCTCTTTCGAGATTCTTTAATTCCCCACCCCCCAACTGAGAGCAGTGTCAGAGCAGAAGAGAATGTGTCCCTGACTTGATCAGTCATTTCAATACGACATTTTGCAAACATGACTTCCATGATTAATGATGAATTATATCATGCCCTCAAAGCACACAATCCTTTGGGGAAATGTCTCGAAACTTCAGCTGGTGCAAAAAAATATGACAGCAAAGGTCTTAACTGGGCCCTCTGGGGGGATAGTTCCCTAGTATATCAAGGACATTGGCTGCCGATTTGGTTTCTGGGTAGGGTTGCCAAATGATTCTTACCTGGTGACGGGGGCTCCTGCCTGGCGTTTGGAGGATGCGCGCGAAGCCCGGATGTGACGTACAGACGCCGGGCACGCTGGAGGCGGGGCCACAGCCATTTGAGGGGGAAACTCTATGTTTTCCCATCAAATGGCTGTGGCCCCGCCTCCAGCCTGCCCGGCGTCTGTACGTCACATCCGGGCGGCGTGCGCGCAGGGGTGGGGTTGGGGTTTCCCCGGGGCCCGATTCTGCGGGGGTGGAAATCGGGCCTCAAAAGCGGGGGGAACCCTGTTTCTGGGCACAAATCAAAATGCCGTGTTGAGCTTTAAAATCCTGGATGGCTAAGGGCCAGGTACTGGAGGGATCACTTTACAGGGCTGGCTCGTGAACTAGGCGAACTAGGCCTAGAGTGGGCCGGCCCTTAGGGGTGCCAAACTGCACCCGCCCTCCCGCCAAAAGCCCCCCTACCCAGCGTGGCCCATTCGTGCGACCTGCCAGCCTGTGGGAGGCTCTGCTGGCAGGAGCCGGGAAAGGCGCTGGGGGAGGGAGCAGCTGGGGAAAGTGGGTCAGGCCGTGTGCGGAAATCCTCTGGCCGGTGGCAGTGGCAGCACCCGAGGGAGGGCGGCAGCCCTAACCAGCACGGGGGGTGATGCACGGGGGGGGGTGCACGGGGGGCGCCAGAAGGGATCCTTGCCTAGGGTGCAAAATAAGCCCTGCACTTTAGAGCGCATGATCCTGCTATTAACATGAAATTCATTACCACCGGCCTGCTTCTTTTGGCCCACCTAGAAATGGATTGGTGGGCACATGGAACAGTGATTTTTAGCATCGACCTCTAGATCAATGCCACTCTGCTGTGAAGCTCACTAGCTGACCTTGGACCAGCCATGCTTGTGAAGCTGCGGAGTCGGCGGGGGCGGGGGTGAGGCTCATGCTGAATAGGACCACTGGTCCCTCAAAGGTCAGTATTGTCTACTCAGACTGGTAGCAGCTCTGCGGGGTCTGAGATAGAGGTCTTTCACATCACCTACTGCCTGGTCCTTTTTAACCGGAGATGCCAGGGATGGAACCTGGGACCTTCTGCATGCAAAGCAAAGGCTATTCCACTGAGCCACAGCCCCTCCCCAGTCGCAACCTACCAAAGGAAAGCCTACTTTAGATTTGAGGTGAGGACAAAATGGGAAAGGGAGCAACACCTATTGTGCTCTGAGCATCTTGGATAAAGAGGTACTAGACAGACAAGCGGGGCTTAGAATTCCCTGCTCCATGAAGCTGGTACTCTCAGCCCTTTGGAGATTTGTGAAGGGTGCTGGAATCCAGATGTATGCTGATAGGAGTAGTAGTAGTAGAATTTATTATGGTCGCTAGACCAGCCACATACATAGTTATAACAGAAGTTTTTACGAGCATATAGAACACAAAATATACAAAAATAAAAGATTTGAATTTAAAACCTATTTAAAATACAGTTTCCGTAACCTCGGTATCAGTGCACAAAATCTAGCTTCTTGATAAGTGATCTTAGAGTTTTTATCAGATAAAAGACAGTCAAGCGGATAATTTTTCTGGTTTTCTTTGATTGTACTCACTAGCTCCTGTGTTGAGTACTGTGTTGAGCACTGTGTGCAGTTCTGGTGGCCTCACTTCAAAAAGGATGTGGGCAAAATCGAGAGGGTGCAGAAGAGAGCAACAAGGATGATCGGGGGTCTGGAGAATGAGCCCTACAAGGAAAGGCTGAGGGCCTTGGGAATGTTTAGTTTGGAGAAGAGGAGATTGAGAGGGGACATGATTGCTCGCTTTAAATATTTGAAAGGCTGCCATTTGGAGGAGGGCAAGGAGCTGTTTCAGTTGGCACCAGAGGATAGGACCCGAAGCAACGGGTTTAAACTACATGCAGAAAGTTATCAGCTGAAAATTAGGAAAAACTTTTTCACGGTCAGAGTGGTTCAGAGGTGGAATCAGCTGCCTAGGGAGGTGGTGAGCTCCCTGTCACTGACAGCTTTCAAGAAGAGGCTGGACAAATATTTGTCAGAGATACTCTAGGCTGGTCCTGCATTGGGCATAGGGTTGCCAAATCTTCTTCCCCCCGCGGCGGGGGAGCGTCGCCGCGGTCCGGGAGTCGGGTGGATGTGCGCGCGCGCCGGCAGCACGTCGCCGGAAGTGACGGGCGACGTGCTGACGTTGGGGGTGTGGCTGAGCTCGTCGGAGGGGAAAACCATATGGTTTTCCCAGGGTTCCCCCCGGGCCGGAATTCGCCTGCGGCGGAAATCGGGCCGCGGAAGCAGGGGGTTCCCCGCCCCCCGGCCCGATTTGGCAACCCTAATTGGGCAGGGGGTTGGACTAAATGGTCTGTATGGCCCCTTTCCAACTCTATGATTCTATGATTCTGTTCTCTAGGGGGATGTTATTGTTTTATGGTCAGAACTTCCAGTAAGTAGCTAAGGTCTTACTTTCCTTTTTAATTTTTTCTCCTGGGGCACTACCCCCTCCACAACACAGCAGGGGTTTGTGAAGCAGCTGTCTCCTTACCCCGTGGAGTTTCATGTATAATCCACATGCGTTGCATACAGGCTCTCCCTCTGCATTTCGTCTCCAGAGCGGCGTATTGGTGGTGTGACAGTTCGTGCAACAGAGACCCGCACGTCTTGAGGAGGACTGAAAAAAGAAAGCAGACAACCCCCTTAGACCGTGCACCCGCATGAGGGAGACGGAATGACCAAATTAGATAAAGTAGGAAGATGGAATCGCCGCTTTAAACCCATTTCCTGGAAGATGAAAAATGTCCATTAGCCACAAAAGATAACCAGATTCATTTGGACAAAACCACTTTCGGCTGAGATCACTTCTATCTGCAATTTTTAAAAAACCACAAACACCCTACTGCAACAAAGCTCGGTAATATCCCTTTAATCCCTTCCCCTGAAGTTAAATGGATTTTTGCCAGCAAAAGACATTTCAGAATCTAGGGCAAGAACAGCTAAATAATGTCTTCAGTGACAGTGTTACCTAATATTAGATTGCTGTGGGGACACCGTCTTCTCACTAAGCAGCAGCCAGCGATGGCTTTTTGATTGCATCCCATTTCCCGAAATTGAAAGAGGTAAATTAATTTTCTGGAATGAATAAAGTTGATCAAGTCGCATCGGCAGTGGGGCTTTTGGAATACTAAAGACAAAGTGCACTTAATTAGGCAGTGGCCGTGTGCCTTTTCTCAGAGTCTAGGGCCGTTCTAATGGGATATTAACTAATCAAAACCCAGACAGAATGCATCAGATTCCTTTATCCAGGCATTCTTGGATTATCCGGACTGGTTCCATTTATAGATTCAGGTGAGGCAGCCGTGTTGGTCTGAAGCAGCAGAACGAAGTTCGAGTCTGGTGGTCCCTTGAAGACCAACAAAGTTTTAGCCAAGGTATCAGCTTTCATATGTGCACACACACTTTATTTATTTATTTATTTATTTATTTATTGGATTTATACCCCACCCTCCCCGCCGAAGCAGGCCCAGGGCGGCCTACATACATTTTAAAAAACAGTTTTAAAAAGGTAAAGGTTTCCCTTGCTCGAAAGCCAGTCGAGTCCGACTCTAGGGTTGCGGTGCTCATCTCCGTTTCAAAGCCGAAGAGCCAGCGCTGTCCGAAGACGTTTCCGTGGTCATGTGGCCGGCATGACTAAACACCAAGGTGCACGGAATGCTGTTACTTTCCCACCAAAGTGGTCCCTATTTATCTACTAGCAATTTCTTGCTTTCGAACTGCTAGGTTGGCAGGAGCTGGAACTAGAGATGGGAGCTCACTCCATCATGCAGTACCCGGGTCTCGAACTGCTGAACTACTGACCTTCCACAGCCTGAAGTTCAGCATCTTAACCACTTGAGCCACCTAAAACCAGCATAAAAACTAAAGTGCTATACATTCAAGTTTTCCTATGCCGCAGCAAATTAGCGTACAGCATAATGAAGGTGTTTTAACAGATGCAAGGGCCAAACTGGGACGACAAGCTTAGTATACATGGTCACCAGGCGTTATGCTGTATGCTAATTTGCTGCTCACCTATATGTATGGACTGGTAACGTCCACTTCAGTGTATCTGAAGAAGTTTGCGTGCACATGAAAGCTTTGTACTTTGGATAAAACTTTGTTGGTCTTAAAGGGCCAATTCTATGATGCCACCCTGGTCATGGCATGGAAACCATACTGATACCTGACTAGGATTGCCAACAAGGCTGGGGGGGGGGAAGTGCCCTGTCCCTTTAATAGAGGCTTACTGTATGAAAGTGGGCAGCCGAAGCTTTTCATGGTGGAGGGAATAACTCACTTGGTAAACGATACCCTATTAAGCCTCTATTAAAGGATAGGGCCTTTTTTTCTCCAGGCAGTTGACACCCTGTATGTGTAACCTTCACTGGAAGTAGGATTCCGGGACCCCCGCCAGGTCTGGAACCCCTCCCCTGGTGCAGATCAGCTGACCAGCAGGGGGACTTACCAGCAACAAATTGAGGACTAGGCCTCTGTCACTGGTGACATAACTTCTGGCGCACACCAGAAGTCAGGGCTATTTTTGGGCAGGAACGCACAGGAACAGAGTTCCGGCTGGCTCCCGAGTTGGCCACGCCCAGCAGGAACCTCATTAGCATAATAGGCCACACCCAACAGCAGAAGCTCATTAGGATTGGCTACATTAGGGGTGTGTGGCCTAACATGCAAAGAAGTTCCTGCTACAAAAAAGCCCTGGGTTTTGACAACAGACAAGGTAAACAGAATAAGAAGCAAAAGGTGGGTGTGGCTGGATGAGCACACTTCTGGTAACATGGGCTGTGTGGCCTAATACGCTAATGAGCTGTGGTGTCATGGGTGTGGCCTAATATGCTAATGAATTCCTGCTATCCTGCTGTTGGGTATGGCCTATTATGCTAATGAGTTCCTGCTGGACTTTTTCTACAAAAAAAGCCCTGCCAGAAGTGATGTCATCATGCCACTGGCAATGCTGTGGTATTTGGGCAAAAACTCTATGATAAAAATGACTTTTTTTCGGAGAGTTTTTGCCCAAACAAAAACGACTTCTATCAGAGTGGTTTTGCCCAAACAAAAACGACTTTTATTAGAGAGTTTTTGCCCTCCTCTATTGTTGCCAGAAAATACCTCCCCATAAGGGAAAGGCCACCCAGGAGACCCTCAGTCTTGGAATTATGTTCCTCTGATGTAGGGTTGCCAACCTCCAGGTGGAGCCTGGAGATCCCTTGGAATCACAACTGACCTTCAGTTAACAGAGATGGCTGCTTTTGCAGGGTGGGCTCTACGGAATGATATCCTACTGAGGTGCAGTTACCAATCTCCAAATGATGGCTGGAGATTACCTGATATTGCAATTGCTCCTTCTAAGCTGTGGAGTCTTGTGAGCAAAAATTCTACTTTGTGAGCTACTGGCATTAAACTTGTGAGTGAGCGATTTGGCTGCTGCATCAATTAGTTTGCTCTGGAGCCGTCCTTCCTGAGCTAGAACAAAGACGTGTGAGCTGGAGTCTAAAAAACTGTGTGCTAGCTCACACTAACCCAGCTTAGAGCGAACACTGAGCAACTGATCTCCAGGTGATAGGGATCAGTTCACCTGGAGAAAATGGCCACGTTGGAATCTGAACTCTATACCCCATTGAAGTCCTTCCCCTCCCCTCCCCTTGCCTCCCCAAACCCCACCCGCCTTAGGTTCCATCCCCCAAATCTCCAGGTATTTCCCAACCCAGAGCTACACTGAGGTACTTCTCCTCCTCAAATTCCAGCGTCCCTAGGCTCCACCACCCAAATCTCCAGGAATTTCTGAACTTGGAGACGGCAACCAGTTCGGTGTAGTGGTTACGTGTGTGTACTCCAATCTGGGAGAACCGGGTTTGATTCCCCCACTCCTCCACTTGCAGCTGCTGGATGACCTTGGGCAAGCCACAATTCTGTCGGAGCTGTTCTCTTAAGAGCAGTTTGTGTCAGAGTTCTCTCAGCCCCACCTACCTCACAGGGTGTTTGTTGTGGGGAGAGGAAGGGAAAGGAGTTTGTAAGCCTCTCTGAGACTCCAAGTGAAGGGTGGGGTATAGATCCACTCTCCTCCTCCTCCTCCTCCGTTTTCATCTTCTTTGACTTCTTCTCTGATGTATTAGACAAGGCAAAACGGCCACCAGGGCCCTTCCCCGCATTAGTCGTAAGTGCAGGGGCAATAAAATGCCAACCAAGTCCAGGAAGGGTCCCAAGGCACCTATTGTCAAGTATCTCCCTTGGATACTTGGTAATCGCTTTAACTCCTCCCTGCCAATACCTGTGAAGGACGCACTCCCCACCCAGAGTGGTGAACTAATCTGCTGCAGCCAGAATGAAAGCCGGGACCCTGCCTTGCCCAGAGGGGCAGAACATTCAGTGGGCCGCCAAGCGAGTCCTTTGTCTTTTCATCTGAATTCAATAAAGTTTCCCACATGCCCTGTCAGCCTCTCAGCAGCCCAGAAGTTATGTCACTGGTGACATAACTTCTGGCGCACACCAGAAGTCAGGGCTATTTTTGGGCAGGAACGCACAGGAACGGAGTTCCGTCTGGCTCCCGAGTTGGCCACGCCCAGCAGGAAACTCATTAGCATAATAGGCCACACCCAACAGCAGCTCATTAGGATTGGCTACATTAGGGGTGTGTGGCCTAAACTGGATTTCCCCCTCCCAAATTCAAATGCCAACTGCCCAACACACAAAAAGTATTAAGAGGGCTCTTTGGTGTAGTGGTTAAGAGCACGGACTCTAATCTGGGAGAACCGGGTTTGATTCCCCACTCCTCCACTTGCACCTGGCTGGTGTGACCTTGGGTCAGTCACAAGTTCTTTCAGAGCTGTTCTCTCAGGAGGAATTCTCAAGAGCGCTCTCTCAGCCCCACCTACTTCACAGGGTGTCTGTTGTGGGGAGTGGAAGGGGAAGGGAAAGGGTTTGTAAGCCACTCTGAGACTCCTTTGGGCCGTGAACGGCGGGCTATAAATCCAACCTCCTCCTCCTCCTCCTCAGCAAATTGGGTCTGACCACCCTTCGGTCTCAGAGATCAACTCTGAAGCAGCTGGGGTTGCCAGCTCTGGGCGGGGAAATACCTGGAGATTTTGGGGGTGGAGCCTGAGGAGGTTTGGGGAAAGGAGGGACTTCAATGGGGTGTAATGCCAGAGAGTCCACCTTTCACAGTGGCCCTTTTCTCCAGGGGAACTCATCTTTGTCACCTGGAAATCAGCAGAAAAGAGCAGGAGTCCAGGAGCACCTTAAAGACTGACAAAATTTGGGGCAGGGTAGGAGCTCTCGTGAGTCACTGGCTCACTTCTTTGGTGACTCATGAAAGCTCCTACCCTGCCACATATTTTGTTAGTCTTTAAGGTGCTCCGGACCCTTGCTCTTTTCTACTGCTACAGACAGACTCACACGGCTACCCATCTTGGGCCCCGGTCACATGGAGCATTTGCCGCACTAAAGATACAGATGATAGGCAGATTTTCCGGGTGTGATCATACCGCAACATCTGGGAAGCGTAGTGCTCCCGTGGCTATCCCGTGACGTCCCGCCGAAGATGTCAGACTAAAAAACTAGTACCTACAAGGTACTGGTTTCCGGACACCGCGGGGCAAGGGCGGGCGTCTGATCGCGTTTCCGGTG